TCCTCTCCAGTTTTATCCTTTTTTTTCCTTTAAAAACTTGAGCCTCTCTTTTGTTCTCCAGAGAACTCCAGGCAACTTTTGTTCTTCCAGGCAACTTGGAAGTGTGTCCTGGACTGTAGTTCTTAATCTTTGCTCTTGAATAAACTATACTGGATTCTGAGCTTTTTAATTATTTAAGGTTGACAAAATAGTCATTATGCAAATATGTATATGAGTGTGACTTCCTTTGGTCAAAGTGAGCAGATTAGGCTAGATCTCCTGACCTTAGTTAATATGATCACATAAAGGCCCAGGACTTTTGCACAGGGCTGAGAGAGATGTATACTGAGAACCACAATCTTTATTTCTCTCTGTATGGGAACAGGGAGATGATTTTTTTTAGCAGCTGAAGAAGTAAAGCTCCAAAAGAAAGCTCAGTGCTATACAACTAATCAATGGCAGAAGATACCAGCACTCAGACCTGTAGGGTTTTATACAATGCTTTCTTTTATGTTACCTACCAGCAAAAGTTTTTCTATAAGGGCCAGATAGAATATATTTCAGATTTGCAGGACACACAGTCTCTGTTAACAACCACTCAACTCTGTCCTTGTAGTGAGAAAGCAGATGTAGATGATAGATACATAAACCTATTGCTATGGCTGTGTCCCAGTAAAACTACATACAAAACAGGGGCAGGCTGCACTGGCTCCATGGGCTATGGTTTTACAATCCCTATTGTACAACTATTGTTTCTCTGGAGGCATTTGAGAATATATACTCTGGCCCCAAAAGAAATTATTGAATTGGATCTGCAAGTTACTGCAGAAATTTCTCTACTTCTATAATTCACCCAAACATAATCAGACCCATAAGGACTGTTTCAGATGAGGGAATGATTCCTTAAACTTGATCTCAGTTCCTAGCATCAATCTTCACTCCTCCTAGAACACTGAGCTGTCACAGGGGTACTTCTTCTGCAGGAATCCTTTTTCAACAAAGGAAACAGGAGCAGGACAAGAGGCCAATTTGAAGCCTGCAGATCTTTCCCTCATCTCACTTAAAAGCTGTTTATAATTGTGACAGAAAGAAGAATATGGAGCTTTTCTTAGAAATTAAGGATGCCCAGTAGTCCTATGTCAATTTTAATATTAGAAGATAGATATAAGGGTTTTTGAAGTAGAAAAATCATGAAATAATTGCAGAGACATAAGTAATTTCTTTTCTAGTTCCTAGTTACCTCTAAGCATCGCAAAGGTGATGGAATTAGCTTTTCTTTCAGTTGCTTAGTGTCAATGAGCAGCAATCCGACATTTCTGGTGGGTCTGAGAGCCACTGAATCCTTGTGCTGTTTGTGATATTTTTCCAGTTGTTCACTAAAGAACATAACATCTACACAAAAAATTCACATAAATCATAAAACATACCATATTGGATTTTGAAAGATCATTACAAAATATATTAAAAATCATTAGATTAATAAATTTACATACATATTTATAATGCTATTATCCATGCTTACAGTACCTTATATAACTTTAAAATGCTACTCCGAATGCTTTATAGTGTTTTATTCTCATAACAAACTAAGATTTTAAAATGTAGATATGTTTTCTGGCTACTATTAAAAGGTGATAGATGAAAATTGCAATTGCTTTAGATATTCTGGAATGGAGTAGATTTTAGAGTTAGGTTGGTCTGAAGTTGGGCTAATCTAATGTTTTCCACATAGTACCTCAAAGTAGAGCAGTTTGAAAATATTAATAACAACAAAAATTTGAAACACAGGAGATCCAGCACAGCTAAAGTTACCTCTGTTCCTCTTACTAACACTCTGCCATTCCTGCTCCCTAGATGATGGGTAAGGTTTTTGTCAATTTGCATGTGGCATATGCTGTAGTTGCATTTTGGTAATCTTCCTGCCTCAATTTTCTTCCTTACCTAATCTTCCTGGAACTATTGGAAGCCTGAATATCCTTTAATACACTTTTATCATACTATTGGTCAAAAGAAGCTCTTTCTAACGTATGTATAAATCTAAACTCCTCTGCTTATCTTTGAAAATCCTGTACCCTTTAGGCCTCTGAAAATTTATTTCTAACTTTATTTCTAATTACTTTTTCTGCTTGAGTCAGATTGATTTCTTTACTGTCTCCTTTTCTTCTTCTTTAATACTCCTCCCACACCCCAAAGAAGAAAAGGTCTTGTTTCCTGTCTGTATTCATGCCATCTCCTCTCATGAACATAAGTGGGAGTTTGATGTAGTATGAAGAACACACCAGACAGATGACCCAGGCCGAAGTCTTTAACTTGTTTGTGGTCTTGGGTAGGTCACTTCATCTTTCTGAGCTCTAGCTTCCTCATAATAATAAATTAGGGGCAATTACCTCCCCTACTCAGTTTAGAAGGTTTTGATGTGTGCATTTTTAAGAATTGACTACATAAGGATAGAAAATGATTTGAGAAGTCTTTTGATAAGGTAATATATATATTGTTGCTTGGCCTAGTAATTTATAAACTAATTTAATATACATTTTCTTTTCATGGTGTCATATAAATAGCATTCAGAATAGTAGTCTGTTTAAGAATGCAACTTTTTGAAACACTGATTTGGTCCAAAATGTCCACATTTTATACCTAAAGAAATAATACCTCAAAAGAAGTTAAATGATGTGGCCATGGTCACATAGCCAAAGAAAAAGAAAAAGAGTAAAGATGATAGGAGAGAATTAATATTTATGTTTGATTTCTTTTTGAGATAGAAGAGAGACAGTATATATTATGGTTAGTTACACAGCTTTTAAGTCAGCTGGTTTCTAATCCGCTTACTAGCTGTGTAACATTAAAGTTGCTTAATTTCTATAGATCTCTATTTTCTTTTTCATTAAATAGTAATCGTATCCTAATTACCACCTTATTGAATTGTGAGGATTGGATGAGAGGCCTGAATATCACTTAGAATAGTATTTATCATAAGTGCTTAGTAAGTGTAGAAATTATTAACAAACACTGACATTTCTAGGAATTTGATGGTGAGATGTGGCTGATTGTTAGGAAACCAGAACCTATCCCCTGATGAACCTGTGAGGCTGGACAGAAGGCAATCTGGATAATAGTTCAATTAAGCAAACATTTATTAAGGATCTATAATATGCGTTAGGCCAGTGGTTCTCAACCTTCCTAATGCTGCGACCCTTTAATACAGTTCCTGTGGGTCGCAACCCACAGATTGAGAACTGCTGTGTTAGGTGTGTTAGGCAATATTGTAGTAGTCTGAGGACACCTGATAACAACAGGCAAGGCATGGTATTCTGGGGGCAAAACCATTTTCTATAAAACACCTCTTAGAAACAATAGGATTCAGAAGTTTGAAAGTATCAGAGAGTTTCAAAAGGAGGAGAAGCACAAAAGGTTGGGAGTTGAAGCCAAGGCACTCCAAAGTACCAGCCAACAAATAGTTACTATTTTGGAGACCTGGTTACAGGGTTGGATTTTAGAGGCAAGACTGACAAGCCATGGTAGGACTAGATCACGAGCAACAAAGATGTCAGGGTATTTTACCCAGATGATGTCTAGGTAAGTTTTTCAACATGAGGAATATGGTAGTGAGAGACTAAGAGGCCTTGAGTTCATGAGATAAGCAAAAGAGCTCAGTAGTTAGATCTGGCTGTTTAGGTCATGCCTTTTCCCTGTTGTGAAACATCAGGCTTTATACGTTCTTGCCATCGTGATGCTATGCCACAGCATGTAAGGCATCAAGTCCTCATGTTTCTGTCACTAAACCTCCAGTTCAGCACATGCCAAGTCCTAGTGTCATAGTATTGCTGAAGAACAGTGGGAATAGACTTGTCCAATTTTTTAGGCAAGTAGAGCTCCATTTTGGTCTCTCTAGTAAATTAGTATCTTGAAGAGTCTGTTACAGATTTTTAAAACTTAAGGGACATAACACCCAAATACAATGCCTGCCTTTGGACTAGATCCTGGGCCAAAGCAGTTGTAAGCTACTTTATTTGGGAGATTTTAAATATAGAGTAAGTGTTGATATTAAGAAATTACTGGATTTTGGGGGGTGTACTATTACTATTTTGGCTCTTTAGGAACAAGTTTTTTAGAGGCACATATTGAATTATTTAACTTAGGGATGAAATATCTAATTTACCTTGAAATATTTCAGCATTATTGTTAAAAAATACAGGTTTATTTAATTAGTGCAATTTTATGAAGCGAAGTATCAAAGTAATTATTTTTATGTTTAAAGAAAACAAAACTATAAGGCTAGTTCATAAAATAAAAGAAGAATGTGAATGATAAACTTCACATTTTAAAATCGTAATAATAAATAAAATGTACCTAATTTTCATGATTACCTGAGAACTGCCTTGCCTGAAATTTCACTTGGATATTGTAGATCATTTTCTTTTGTTATAGATAAGTCTAATAGAATAATTTCTCTATGTGTGTAATATCATGGCTAAGAGTTATTGATTCACACCTACCAGGTCTCAATGTGGTCCCAGAAAAAAAGAGTACCTTGAATTCTGAGACTGAAAAACTTATGTAAACCGTATTTAATGGAATTGGTAGGGATTCACGTCCCTTTCAATTCCTTTCCCCATACGGGCTATATACCGTTAGCACTGTATACAACCTCACACTAAAAGATATTCCATAAAGTAGGAATTGCTTCCCATATTATCCTGAGATGAAACAGTAATACAGAGTAAGAGCAAAGGAATAATTCTTTGGAAAATAACCTAGAGATGCATAAACTCTTGTCTTTTGTCAGGTCAACTTTTTTGGGTTATCATTTTTGTTACCAAACACCAACCAAACAGAAACCTAGAAGACTAAAGATCTTAGTATGTCCATTGAAAATAATCAGTAAGGACAAACAGAATACTTACCAGGTTCCTGAAGTTTAAGAGCTTGTAAATCAAGACTTTCATTTTCCTTGAAGAATATCTGTAACTTTTCGAACGTAGCTGCATATAACTGGGCAGATTCGAATGCTGCCTTAACAGTTTCCTAAATATTATACACAAATAGATGAATAAAACTATTTTTGTTAAGTAGAATTAATTTACTATAACTAAACAAACAATACACACATATGATCTGTGCCCTGATTATGCTTGGATCTGAGGATACATGAGTGAGGAAAAGATCGCTTCCTTGATGTCAAAGAACAGTTAATGAATTCAAGAAGAAAATGTTATGAAAATTTAAAAAGTCTATCTCCAAATCTGTCTTTTGAAGAATTATTCCTTATGATTGAAAGAAGTACACTTGCAATTTTTTTCTGTTTCATGATGAACTTATACATTACTAATAAACAGATGGCAAAAAGGCAACACCTATTTATTTTCCAAACTTCAAATTTTATGTTAGTTATGTGTGTGTGTGTTTTATATTTGCCCATGCTTAGATTCAAGCATACATTTTTGGCAGTAGAACCACAGAAGTGGCATGGGTTCTCTGAGCATCATATCACAAGGCACTTGTTAATTTGTCCTGTTGGTAATGTTAACATGTGGTTAAGGTGGTGTCTGGCAGGCTTATCACTGTAAACTTACTATTCTCCCCCTTTTAAATCAACAAGTATCTTACCGAGAAATGATTTGAGACTATGTCTATATCCTGTTTCTCATCATGTATTTGTATACTCAGTCTAGCCTACATTGGGGATTCTAGAAGCCTGTTTCTATGATGGCTACTATGCTGATTTTTCTAATTATGTTTTCCTTCTAAATTTATTAGTTGACATTCTACTGAAGGAAAAATTTCCCTCCTCACTCATTCAATTAATTAATTTCACAGTAGGGAATCATATATTCTCATTTTACTCAAAGGATTATGATACTGTTAAATCATTATTTATTTTAATTATCAAATTGTCCCAGTTAGACACTTCAAGCTAGCTTTTTATCTTTTCTACTTGTTTCCATTTTTATTTGGGTAAATTCTTATTTTTGGTTCAACAATGTGCTCTGAGCTCATCTTATACTTTCCCTGACTAAGCTCTTGAATAAAACATTTTTCCAAAGAGACCAAAAAGAGTTCCTTTTGACTGGGTATGGAATATAGAAACCAACAAGTGGATACTAGATGTGCTCTTTGCTATTAGAACATCATTGGTTCTGGGCCATCTCAACAGACAGGTCTAGGAAACAAAAACACAATCTCTCTCTCACACATATGTACACACAAAGCCTTACATATTTTTCTCTCTTTCTACAGATTAACTAGTAGCTATGAATTCATAACTCCAATTCTAATATAGCACCATAGGGCTTATTGTAGCCTTCCCTCTTCCCTAATTGTAATTTCTTTTCTGAGGACAAGTAACCTCATTTCATTATTCACAATATATTGAATTATTTGCTTAACTATAAAACACACAGAAAGCAGTTTCAGAATTGCTAACACACTAACAACAAACCTATTTGTGATAGTGATCTTAGGCCTAAGGATCTATTGATCAAATTCTGTGTTGAAAAGTTACTTGGTTTAGTTCTTTTCACCCTTCTCTTCAGTGTGGCTTATTATTCATTTGAAGTACATTAAGATTCATTTGTTTTTGTTTATATTTTATTTTAGGGGTTTCTCTCCTTGTCATATTTTTTAGAACTATATTCGAAGGTATACTCAAAGTGTTCACTTCCCCCACTCCATACTCACTATCCTCATCTTCTCCACACCATTTTCTTTATCATCTCTAGGTAATCGATTTCCTTAGTTTCTGGTTTATCTCCCTCCTTGCCGCTACTTCTGACATAAACTGTAGTGTACTAGGGATATTCTTTTGTACTTTACTTAAGAATATGTCCTGGAAATCACTCTATGTTAATCAATAGGTGTTTTCCTCATTCATTTGTATTCTGCTGTGTGGATGTACCACAGATTTTTCATTCTTCTATGTATGGGTGTTTTGCTAGTTTCTAATATTTTGCAATGATAAGCAATGATGCAAAGAATAACCTAGTGCACGTGTACTTTTGTATTGTTGAAGATGTATTTGCATGGCACATCTTTAAAGGTGGCATTCCTGAATCAAAAGGCAAATCCATATATAGTTTTGTTACATATTTAAAAACTCTCCTTCATTACTTAAATTTCCACAAGCAAAATGTGAGAGCATCTGTTTCCCCATAGGCTAGCCAACAGAATGTGTTAGTATACTTTTTAATTTTGCTAATCTGATAGTTGAGAAATGATACCTCTGTTTGTTTTAATTTGCATTTATCTTGTGCATGAGGTAAAAATATATTTTAATATGTTTAAATGCTATTTTTTAGTGAATTTTCTGTCACATGTTTTGAATGTTTTTCTTCTAAAAAATTTTAGATTAATATAAAGGTATATACAATTAGGTTCCATTGTTTGCATTTGTTAAGTCAAGTCTAAATTGCAGTTGACACCTTCACCCATGGGGTGTACCATATACCCCTATATTGGACCTGATAGGTGAGAGCTTACCAGGCCTTCCCATTCTTGAATTTAAAAGTGTTTTTCTCTTATGTGGGCATCTACTAGTTTCGTATCAATATTGAGTACATTGGATGCTTGCTTTTCTATGCCAGTGATACTTTACTTAGGAAGATGTTCCCCAAATCTATCCAGGTAAATACAAAAGGTATAAAGTCTCCATCTTTCTTTGTTGTGGAATGGTATTCCATGCTATACATAAAACACACTTTATTTATCCATCCATGGGTTGATTGGCACTTGGGTTGTTTCTACATATTTGCAATTATGATTCGAGCTGCCATAAACGTTTGAGTGCAAATGTCATTATGGTAAAATGATTTTTTCTGTTCTGGGTAGATACCTAGTAATGGGATTGCAGGATCAAATAGAAGGTCTATTTTTAGCTCTTGAGGATTCTCTATACTTCTTTCCACAAAGGCTATATTAGATTGCAATCTCACCAACAGTGTAAAAGATAAAGTTCCAAAGTGAGCTATGGATCTGACTGGAACTTTATCTTTTCTCTCTAGGTTAATTTCTAAATATAACACATGGCAATAGCATTACATAGTTCTAATGTGAACTATGGATCTAATTTTATCTTTATCTTATTTCATCTTTATCTCCACACCCACACCAGCATCTGAAGCTTTGGGACATTGTAATATGGGCTACCCTTGCTGTGGTTAGGTGATATCTCAGGGTGGTTTTGATTTCCATTTCTCTGATGATAAGGAATGATGATTTTGTATTTCTTATGTTTGTTGGTCATTTGTCAACCATTGTCATGACAAAAGTTTCTGTTCATGTCTCTTGCTCTTTTCTTGTTTATTTGCTTAAGTTCTTTGTAGATTCTGGTTATTAGCTCTTTGTCAGATTCAGAGCAACCTTCTCCTATTCTGAAGGTTGTCTCTTTGCTTTTGTCGATTATGTCCTTAGCTATGCAGAAACTTTTTAACTTGATCAGGTTCTCTTTGTTTATTTTTGTTATTGTAGATAACCTCTTATGAACAAGATTATATAAGAATTCACCTTTATTTTCTTCCAGTACTTGTATGATTTTATTTGACCTTATGAACAAGATTACACAAGAATTCACTTGTGTTTTCTTCTAGTACTTGTATGATTTGATTTTACTTTCAGATTCCCAATCCATGTATTCTTATGTCCAATATGAACTATGAATCTGATTTTGTCTTTATCAAACTGGCTAATCAGTTGTCTCAGTTCCATTTATGAAAAAATTCATATTTGTCTCAGTGATTTAAGATATACCCGTATATACATGTACACGCACTTTGGTACATTTTTGAGTTTTCTATTCTGTTTTACTTGGTTAAATTCATGTGCCATTATCACATTCTTTTGATGATAGAGTACTTAAATTCTAGTATTTAGTAAGTCTGGTATCCCTCATAGCTTTTCTTTTTTAATGTTTTGTTAGATATTCTTACATGTCTATTTTTATATGCAAGCTTTATTATAAATCTGTATAGCTATGGAAAAAAGCTTATACTTTATTGTCATGTGTTATATTTAGAAATTAACCTAGAGAGAAAGGACATCTTTACTATGTTGAGTCATCCCATCTAAGTACAATTATATACCTCTAGACTGTATTTTCCAGGAGATTTTTAAAAAATGAGTGGTTTTCATATGGGTTTTTAATATTTCTTATTAAGTTTGTTTCTAAATATATTACCTTCTTTGTTGCTATTATAGATGGAGTGTTTTCCACCAGGAATTTTCAATATTCTAGAATAATTTAGTTAGCATTGCGAATACATGGTCTTTGGAAATTTGATAAAATTTCCCCATAAAATCCTTTAGGCCCGGTGCTTTTTTGTAGGGCACTTCTTTATTTCTATTTCTTCTGTGAATTTTGACGGGGTTTCTATTTCTAGTGTGATACATTTGGGTAAACATATTTTCCTAAAAAACATTCTATTTTATCTAAGGTTTTCAAATTTATTTGTGTTAATGTCTCTGAGCTAGTATCTTATGGCTTATGTCTTAGATATAAGATATATCTCTTGGATAATATCTTATTTCTATCTTTTTTCTGTTTTAATTATTTCCTTGTCATTTCTCATTTATTATTTTGGTTAGAACTTCTATATCTTAACTAATTTTTTTCTACTTAATCTGCTTTGTACTGAAAATGGTATATTAATGTCCTCTATTCACAGTGTTTCTATTTATATTCCATTCCTTCTTTTTGCTTTATAAAAATGTCTCCTGTACTATTTGGTGCATAGAGATTTGTAACTATCATATATATATGATATTTATCTCATATATATGTAACTAGCATATATATATGATTTTATATATATATATATACATATATATATATATATTTTTTTTTTTTTTGGCCGAGGCCGTGCTTAAACCTGCCACCCCTGGTATATGGGGCCGGTGCCCTACTCCTTGAGCCACAGGCACCTCCTGTAACTATCATATTTTCATTACAAATTGTGGCTTTTAAAATAGCTAAGTGTCTTTGTCACATTGGATGCTTATTGACTTAAACTCTACTCTTTCTAATGCTAAGATGTGCAGAAGAGAGTTAACATAGCAAGCCTGAAACTGCTATCCTTGAAAGGCCTGCTTGCAATGTTGCAGTGTTGAGTAACTTGGATTTCAGAAGGGTTCTCACCATTCCCTAACTGGGAAGAGTAGCTCACTATGCCTTAACTGTTTAGGAAAACAAGGTGGTTTACGCTGAACGTCTGCTTTCCTTCTGGGAGTCTATGACTTTGGTACATACTAGGTAGAGAGTGCCTTTGTAGTCAGTTCCCAGTAAAAATTTTGGGCACTGAGATTCTAATGAATTTTCTTGCTAGACAATATTTCACATGTGTTGCCACATCTCATTTCTGGAAAGATCAAGTATATCCTGTGTGACTTCACTGGAAGAGAGGACTCTTGGAAGCCTGTGCCTGGTTTCCTCTGAACTTTATGTACCTTTTCCCTTTGCTGATTTTGCTTCATAGTCTTTCACTGTAATAAATCTCAGCCGTGAGTACAACTATTGCTGAGTTCTGTGAGGTCTAGCAAACCATAGAACATAGGATGGTTTTGGAGATCTATAGGATCAGAAGCCCTGCTTTCTTTTTGTTGACATTTGCCTGTATGCCATTGAGCACCCCTTCATTTTTAGCCATTCTGAATTACTTTGTGTTTGTCTCTTGTATCTAGATTACTATTTTGTCTTGCCCTGCTATCCAAATTGAAAAATCTTTTTCTTTTATTAAATGACTGGAACCATTAATATTTCATTATATTATTGATATATTTGATTTCAACTTGGTCCTGTTATTTTTTATGTGTTTTATGGTTATTTTCTGCATTTCTTTCTCTGTGTGATATTTTCTTAAATGCCATTGGTCACCTATTACTGACCTTTCACAATTTGATTTGTTGATTTTTACTGATATTCTTTAACTCACATCTATTACTTCTACTTCAATGAGTAAATTTAATCTACTTTCCTCTTCTTTTCTCCCTTCTCTTTCTCTTTTTAAAGTTGTATTATTCTACTTCATTAGAACATACATTTATATAGTAGTCTCCTATCCTTATTACTATCTTTGTTTTAGACTTAGACATATCTACAGTTAAACATATTAAATACTCATCATCAAATTTCCCCATCAAAGTCATGTCTTAGTTGAATGAAACTGATCCCATAGTAGATTCTTGATGACTACCAAATTCTTTGGGTCCTTAAATGTTCAAAACTGTTTTTCTAAAGCCCCTATATTTGAAGGACTAGTCTTATTAGAAAAGAAATCTTTGATTCAAAATTTCTTCTTATGAATTTCATTTAGAAAATGTTGATCCATTGTTGCTTTGCTTCATATGTTGTTGTTTTTGAGAAGTTTGATGCCATTATAATTCTCTCACCTCTGTATATTCTTTGGTCATTTTTCTTTGAGACCTAGAGAAATTTTTCTCTAGCTTTAAAATTCAGAGTTGATTGTTCTGGGTCACTTTTCTAAGGAACTCCGTAGATCCTGTCAACATGTAAATTCATGTTTTCTTTTCTTAGACTATAGTTATAAATGTTTATCTCCTCGGTTTGTTTTTCTTCTCCAGAGGTCAATTATATGTATATCTTCTTTGGCTCTCTTCCATTCTAATTATGTTCTCTCTAAACCTTTTTATTTATTTCTCTATCTTATTTTCTTTCTGTTGGTTGTTTTCTTATTTTTTCTGTCATTCTTCTATACTCATGTCAAAAGTACATGAAGATCTCCCATGGGGATCATATAATTTACTCTTCAATTTTGAGATGATTTTTGCCATTTTTCCTTCTTCCATTTTATTTTGAAATTTTTTCTCAGTGGTTTTCCATATATTTGGATACTTCCTTGAGACTATTTATTTAGATTTTTGGTGTTGCTTTTGCTTCATGGCTGTTTAGGAGTAGAGGAGAATATATTCTTCAGTTGTCTTACTTTTCATTTTCTGTTTTCTCCTCATAGTAGATTTGCATGTATTTAATCTATTTTAATTTCTTCAGTTTATGGACTTAGACTGCTTTTAAAAATTTATAGTTCAAAGTCAGTCAAATTTATTTTGTGGTGGAGAAAGAGTTTGGCATCATTTTGGTTCTTTTTTGTCTTGGAGTTCTCACATTTCATTAGTTGCTTCATTTCCTCTGCACTACCCAATGTTCATATAATGCCTTTTCTTCATTTTTAACCTTACTTTTCCCTCAGAACTAATGCCATCTTGAATAGCTTTAACTTTTAAGACCTTTTTGACCTACCAGCCCTTTAAAAAAATTATTTCTGAATGTAAGGTGGACTTCTTTCTAGCTCTGGTTTTAGATTAACCTCAAGCCTTCTGCTAGCTCCTTGCTGGCTTCATTGTCTATAAAGGCTCATGGCAGGAGTATAAAATAGAAAGCTCATTGGTATTTGTGTTTATTATTTTATACTCAAAGTTAATTTGACATTTGGGTGTTCTCTGTCTTCTAGTTACTTGTTAAAGGAATAAGTTTATTTAGTTTTATTTCTTTTTCTTGTAGGTCCTTATTATTTTTGGAAAATATATGGGGTGATTCAGTTGAGATTGGGCACGTTCAGGGTGGTATGGCTGTAGATATACAGGGTGTGATTCACATTTAGACAGGTACCATTATCCTTGGCTCCTCCAAATTGAAAATATATTCTTTAACTACAAATGTTATAACTATCATTTTAAAGAAAATAATTGACCAAGGAGAGAAGTTGATGAAGCAGAAACCATTTTTGCATTTATTATCAGCTAGATATTATGATAGTGAATGAAAAAAGGTTGTGAAATTCCCTGCCTAGTGCAAGTATTAATGCAAAAGAACCAAAGATACAGAATAAATTTTGGAATTAGAAACTACATAGAAATTTAGAAAAGGACAAAGAAACATGGTAAGAGCTTATCATTTTTGAATTAATTTAAAATAACACAGTTGAGAATAAGAGCTCCACTGTAAGCAAGAATCAAAATAGTAATAGATGGAATATACTATATTCATTTTACAATTATACTGTGATAGCTATAACCATATCTTTATAAAATGAACAAAATTAAACACTATGCTAATTTTAAGTTACATAGGGCTCTATGCATTATGGATATTGATGACTGACAAATAAATAAATTTTTAGTTTGAGAATTATAGTTGCACTGGGTGCCAGGAGATAAGCTTGGCCCTGTTCCACAGGTTTTTTCTTCAAGTTTGTTGTTAATGTAAGGACTGGTAAAAAGCAATTACAGTAAATTGAGGGCTACTGTGTCCATCCGTTTTGTGTTGTTAGAAAGGATATACCTGAGGCTGGGTAAGTTATAAAGAAAAGAGGTTTATTTGATTTATGGTTCTGCAGACGGTACAAAAAGCATGGTGCCAGAATTTACTTCTGGGGGGAGCTTAAGGAAACTTGCAATCAATGCAGAAAGCAAAAGAAGCGCCAACCTGTCACATGGTGAAACAGGGAACAGGAGGCTGTGGCACCAAGTTCTTTCAAACAACCAGCTCTCCACTTGAGCAAGAACTCAGTCACTGTGGGAGGTCACCAAGCCATTCACGAGGGATCTTCTCACATCACCCAAACACATTTCACTCAGCCCCACCTCAAACACTGGAGATGAAATTTCAACATGAGATTTGGAGGGGACAATATCTAGACTGTGACAATATCTAGCCACACTCCTCTTTTCCATGTAGGAGACTAGGTTCTCTAGAGATTAGGGAAGAAACAGGCTAAGGAAAGCTGTTCTTTCTTTACTCTCATCAATCTCCTCAATAAATATACTTTTGTTTTTAAAAATTGGGGCAGCGAAGCTGAAAAGTTTAACAGGTAGAAAACTATTTTCAAAGTCTTCAAACACGATCTTTAGTTAGTGTCTGCATCCGAGGGGCTATGGATAAATGCCATTACATTTCTTTTCTAATGGGCCTAAAGTAATTACACGACATTTTAATAAAACGTAAAAAACATAATAAAAATGACTATAATAAAAAAGACTGTGTGGTTGGCAAGTCACATTATTCTGCTTGTGGCTCTCAGTATCTCCGTATCTATGATTGCCTTTATAGAAACACATGCACATGAACTGCTAATGATATGTAACTTTTGCCAGGTATTTTACTGTTTTTAAAAAATTATTTCATGCTGAATAGGATAATTTTTAAAGGGTAAACATTACTTTTAAATTTTACCTTGTGGAGATTAGGTGTCTTTTAATTCTTGCAAATAGAACATTTAAAGATAAGAAAGGAAGAAAATGTATTACCCAATTTCTTAAAAATTGAGAATATTATAAAACAGTTTTAGTCAAAGTAAATATACCTTTATGTGAAAGATAATTGTGTGATAATTCTTATCATCATCAAATACTGCTGATAAGCTTGGCCCTGTTCCACAGGTTTTTTCTTCAAGTTTGTTGTTAATGTAAGGACTGGTGAAAGCATCAAAATATGAATCAGGTACGAGGTTAGGAACTGATAGCACGGTGTTTTGACAATGATTAATTGTCCCTGAAATACCATCCTGTTAGAGAGAAAGGCATAAACATTAATGTAAACATATATATGATTATATTTATGAATAATTTTGAATTTTTTTGAAAGTTAAAATAAATAAAAAGGACTCATTCTCCCAGGTCGGCTTTATGCTGATTCTGAGTATACGATAAATCATAAGACACAGTCTTGCCTTCAGGACACACATTTTCTAATTGAGAAAGAGCCAGTAAAGCAAAAAATTATAACACATTGTGATGAGTTCTTTATCTAAAGTGTGAACAAAACACTAGCCAGTCATAAGGAAAGGGAGGCCAAAGTAAGCCTGTGGGAAAGTTTAAAAGGAGGGTTAAAAGTTTATATTCTTTGAGCAATTATTTCTATTTTAGAAACCTAACCTAAGGGAAAAAAATTACACATGTATAAAACGAAACAACAATTTATTTATGTGCAAGGACATTCACTGCAGCATTGCTTATAACTAATTAGAGCAACACTTAAGTGTTCAAAAATAGGAGTACAGTTAAATAAGTTATGGTGTATCCTTTAATAATTGTATCTTTGAAAAGTGCTTAATGGTATGGAAAAAAGTTTATGATAGAATGTTAAGTTAAAAAAAGGGAGAACAGATATAAAATTGTTCTGATACATATTTTCCCAATTTAAGCATGTATCTATATCTGTATCTATCTATGTACATGACATATAATCTCATGGTAAGTTAGGTATGGCAGTATATCAGTATGTATTAAAACAAGAGTAGAATGAAATTTGTACAAATGTGAACAGGGGTTATTTCTGTTTCTAGCATATAGGACTACAAATACTTTTAATGAAATTTTTCTGTGTTTTTCAAATTTCTTCAATGCACATGAATTATAATTTTTTTAGTTTATAATTTATAACAAATACAAAATCTAATTAGAGAAAATAAGATAAAGAAAAGATAGATATCTCTTGAATGCATGGTCACACACAGTGGAATATTAAGACACTGGAGACTCCAAAGGTGGGAGGGTGAAAGGGGGATAAGGGATGAGAAATTACTTATTGGATATTTTCAGAATATGGGTATACTAAAATCCCAAACTTTACTGTTATACAGTACAATCATATAACAAAACTGTACCTATAAATGTACAGAAGAAAAAGGTACCTCTTGAAATGAATGATTCTTAAAAAATGAACAGGAGCTTTCTAAATTTACAAAACAGGAGTACAGTCTTTGCTAAGTCATTGTGTATGAGGGACCTGAGGGAGAAATAGCAGGTTTGTGTGCATGAGTCTTTTAGGTGCTGAACACAGCACCAGTGTGGAGGAAAACACCATGCTGTTGGCCCCTCATGAAAGGCCTTATGCACAATGATAATGTTGGCCCATAGCTGGTACTCTCCAGATTTTGACTATGGACTACCCAGAGGATAAAGGGTCCTAATTTCCCAGGTAAGTTTGGGAAGAAATCTTGGGTTAAACAGAGTTAAACAGGACCTGCTAACTGGGACTTTTCGTAGCTGTTAATCTGTAAAATTGTATTGCAATCCCTTTTCTCCTAAAATGCTGATCAACATCTCACAGAGAATCCTATGAAGAATGCTACTATAGGCAATAGAGAAATTTTAAGCAGGAAAGTAACATGGCCAGATTTGCTTGTGAGAATAATTTTGCTGTCAGCAATGTGGAGAATGGCTTAGAAGGAAGAGAGGCAGGCAGATCAGAATAGACTTTTACAGCAGGCCAGATGAGAAATGATGAGGAGCAGGAGATGGGGTATCACCAAGGGTTAGCACACCAGGCCTGGGGATGTGGTTTTGAGTAGGTAGGGGAGGTTCTAGAAAGACTCCCAGGTTGCTGGCTTGGACAGCTGGATAGTGCCTTTCATTGAGGTGGAAATAGAGAAGGAAGAGCAAGTTTTGGAAGAAGTCAATAAGTTCAAATCATTTTGGTGAACTGTAGTTAATTTGTAGATATTCAAATGGAGATTTCCAAATGTCTGTTAGTTGAAGCTTGAAGGAAAAGTACTAGATCTCAATATACAGTAGAACCTCCGTAGTTGACCACCTCCCTACACTGACCACCTCCTTAAGTTGATCTAATTTTCATAGACTGAACATGTACCACATGCATGTATCAGGCCTAGTTTCTCATATTGACCACCTCTGTATGTTGACTAGTTTGCTACAGTGTCTTGGGTAGTCAGCTTACAGAGGCTCTATTGTATATCTATGTTGGCATTCTAGAAGTGGTAGTCAAAACAAGGAGCACAAAAAAGAGCATCCAGGAAGAGCACAGAGGTTGAGCAGAAGGAGGGAGCCTGTTAGGATAGCAATAGTGAAGGGTCAGATAAGGAAGAGGTTCTTGGAAAGAGGACTGAGAAGGAAAAATGTTGGCTCAGGAGTAGAACCAGGAGAAATCAATGGAGGGAAGAGTACTTCAAGAGGTGAAAGCAGTAAACAGAATCAAATGCAACAGAAAAGATGGAAATTGAAAAGTATATATATTGAATCAAGTACTAGGGACCCATAGGTAAATTAAGCAAGAACAATGCAAGATGTCATGACTTAGATCTATAGTCATGTATGTGTGTGTATATGTCTGTATATATATCTATACACACACACACACACACACACACAGACTCTAAGCTTTATGTGTGTTTGAAACACCTGGGTGGTAATGATGAAGGGTAATGACCAAAACAATAGGGGAAAAATAGAAAATTTATGAATGAGAGTCCTATTTAACTGCTACTGGTTAATTTTGGATTATATAAAGTAAAATATTATATTGGTATGCACACATAAACATGTCGATTATGCCCAGAAGTTGGCCATGTATTTTTGGCATATAGGAATTAAAAATATCCATGTGGGGAGCAGGGCCAAACAATAGGAAATGAGGAGGTGTAAAGTTTTTTGAGGCCTAGCACTAAAGGGTAAAGAACACCTAGCTACTGTGGGAGAGCACCTCCTTGTGCATAGAAGATGCATGTGTCATCTATAGCACAGGGGCACTTGTGTCTCACATGAAAGACATATGTCTTATAGTCAGGCTGGGACATAAGTGTCCAGTATCTCTCTGTGTGGGAGCTTCTGAGGGGGATTTCAACCACAGGGGCCTTAGCAGTCTGCCTGATGCTATAAATACCTTAAAAGAGCCTATCTCATATATCACAAAATCATAGCCTGCTGGAATAGGAAGCAATACTGGAACCACGGGAACTCATTTCACAAATGCAGAAACTGAAACCCAGGGAGGTAGCCATTTTCCTGAGGTCAAATGGTTTACTGATTGCAAAGCCAAGACTAAATCTAAAGATCCTCATTACTAGCACTTTTATACCTTACTATACCAGCCAACAACAGAAAATATAGACTCCAGTTGGCTTACTATGCAAATGTGATAGGCAAAATTCTAAGATAATCCCCACATTCCTGACTCCTGTGTACATATCCTGTACAATCTTCTCCTCTTGAGTACAAATGAGACCCGTGAATATGATGATATCATTCCCATGAGTAGGTTACATTATATAGCAAAAGTAGAGTGACTTTACAGACATAATTAAGCTCACAAATCAATTGGTTTTGAGTTGGTCAAAAAGGTGATTATCCTGGGTAGACATGACTGAAAGCCGTTAGAAGAGTACTTGGGTCCTTTCTGACAGCTCTATCTGGCCTTGAAGAAGTAAATGGTCAAATTGTAAAGTGTCTATAAAGGGGACCACATGGTTTCTAGGACCTAAGGGTGGTCCTTTACTGATATCCCTCAAGTAAATGGGAACCTCTACTAATGAAAGAGCTGAATTCTTCCAATATCCTGAGAGATCAGAAGTGGATCCTTCTTTAGTCAAGCTTCTGATAGGATCACAGGCCCCATAGACACCTGAATGGCAGCCTGGAGAGATCTAGAAACAAAGGATGAGCTGAGCAGTGAGTGCCCAGGCTCCTGACTTACAGTAACTGTGAGGTAAGAAATGGTTAGTTTTTGTTTTAAACTGCTAAATTTATGTTCATTTGCTACACAGGAATAGATAACTAAAACAATGAAATTTCTCCCAAATACAGCATACTTTCAAAAATATTTCAAAATTGGCATTTACAAAAGACTGATTTCTTGGACTCTTCTTAGAGCATGCCAATAGTCAAGTCCTCATGTTGCATAGAGTACATTCTCTTGCTAGTGTACCTTACTAGCCTCAAGTTAAAGACATATGCTAGCCTGTCAGATAGTTTTTTATAGATGTAATCCTATGAGAGAACAAAGCAATCTCTCTCTTATGATTAGTTTGGAGAAGTGACAACTGCAATCCTGTCATCCAATTGACAGTAAAACACCTGCTTCATTTTCCCAAAAGGTGCCTGTATGTGGATTTTATAGGAAAAACACACACCAGAAAGTCTTCCAAAGAAGGTTCAAAGAGTAGCGACTGGACAGTCAAGATCAGTTCTGTGAGGAACATGGGGATCAGGGACTCATCTTCTTCTTGCTTTTCTACCACAGCCGCCCCCTGAAATAAGCACATTTGCAATGTTATAAAGATATAAGTTTCAAGGTGTGAAATTAAGAAAAAATAGCAAGAGACATGTGAACTTAAGTTTATATGATTAGCTAAATTTATAATCTTGCTGTGTACAAAGTCTTTAAAAACAATAATACTATAGAAAGAACAAATGGTAAATATTGAAAGACTACACAGCCATATAAAACTTCTTTTTGTAAAAAACATTGAAAAAATGAAAAAGCAAATAATAAATTGGGAAAACATACCAATAATGTATTTAGAAGATAATAAAAAGTTGATGATATTTGAATGAAAATATGATTGACATACTTAATAGAAATACCTTATTAACTATTGCAATATTTAAATAGAAATATTCAAATAGACATGTACTGAAATAGAAAAATGGGTAAAGGGCATAATATGATCATTCTTAAAAGGAAAATAGATATGACCATTCAATCTCTTCTTTCTCATTCTTAAAATAGTTTATTCAATTGATTGTTTACTGTGTTCCAGGCATAGTACTATTCATGTAATTCCCACACCAACCATATGAAGCAGATGCCATTATTACTCCCATGAGTAAATGGGACCTGGATAAGGTAAAACATTTCACTCACAACATAGTGGCTAGTGAGTGGCAGACCAGAATTTCTGATTCCTGAACCTATGTTCTTACCTGTGTACTGGAGTAGCAATTAAAGAAGTATAACATTTAAAAGCAGTGATATACTACTTTGCATCTAACAGATTGACAAAGATTAAATAAGTGATGATATCTGGCATGCATATGGGTAAATGCTCATTCTCAAACACGGCTAGGGAAGTAGAAAATTGGCAAAACTTTCTGGAAATTTATGCATCGGTATGTATCAAAAACCTTAAAAAGCATGCATTATTTTGACCTAACAATTCCACACCTAGGAATTTCTTCTAAGAGGAACAATCAGTAATGTGTGAAAATATATAGATAAGTACACCCTTTGTGGCATTATTTGGAATAGCGAGAATGTGATTGATAAAATAATTTTTATGGGAATTAGAATACATTTATATTTCAGATTACATGGAAAAATATGTGTTGACTTGGGAAATTTTTCACAATGCCATTTTGCTAAGTGGAAAAAGCAAGATAAAGTAGTAAGTAAAGTATGATATCTTTTTTCTCCTTGGAAATAGATATTTGTGCAGCAAATGATGCCTTTCTGTGTTTTTAGAATTTCCTGCAATTAATATACAGAAATGATATTGGAAATAGATATTTGTGCAGCAAATGATGCCTTTCTGTGTTTTTAGAATTTCCTGCAATTAATATCCAGAAATGTACATTTCTGTGTTTTTAGAATTTCCTGCAATTAATATACATTTATTTCTATAATTAGAAAAATATGTTTTACTTTTAAAACTTTCAGTGTGCATGTGTTTATAAAAAGGAGTTGAGAAGAGAGAAGGAGAGAAAGCAATGAAAAGGAGTATGTGACTGTGTTCTAACTTTTGGAGAAAAGAAACTAAGGCAAAGACCATCAGGTCTTACATGCACAGTTAGGTTTCCAGGGTGGGAGGGAGCTGAGATGTGAAGGTAGAAGGCTTGGTGAAACCAGTGAGCATGTTTTGCTGTTTTCAGATATTCTGGCAAGACGACATTAATATCAAAGATAGAGCTAGGGCAAAGTTTACTGAAAAACTTGGATATGAGATAATATGAATTCCCTCTTAACTATGCCAGAATGTGAAAATTTGTACTACTTCATCTCAAACTTCCTAAATTACTGCGTGTCTTAAGATGTCATCCTGAGAGGTCATCCACTCAGGTCACAAAGATTTGCTAGTGTGATTTACTTCTTTACCTCTAACTATTGCTTATCTCTTTCATTTATACCACTTTTCCTGTTTGTCTTTGCCAGTTCATGCCCACAGTGACCCCCCCCCATATTATCTGCTTTGGGGGCAAGGATCCTGTGTATGCTTTTCATCACTAAATACCCCACATCGAGTATGGGGATTGGCACTTAGATGGTCAGTGAACACATGAATAGCCTTTAGTGAATTGCTATGAGAGAGACAGCAGTATTTTCTCAGTACAGTGGATTCTTACTCTCTTATTAGATACTCATTATATGCTGATTTTTGCCATTTCATAGGCATTATGGTAGGCTCTGATAATATTATGAAATCCTCTAGCATTTCTCTATTTTTTCAGTGCACAGAAAATAGCATAATTCATAGAACATGGTATTTACTCCTTAATCAATGCTGACCAATGAATACTCTGAAGTTTGTCTGGATATACCTTCTTATCAGTGACTTCAGGTTTCTCTTCAGTAATCCACTTCTGAATGACATCTGCTGAAGGTGTTCGTTTTAGCTTCTCAGTGAGATAACTCAAAAGAGAGTTAATAGAATTTACTGTTAAGACGTGCATGGTGTTCTCAATTAGGTAGTCATTTAGACGAATAAAGCTTGAAAAGAAAAAAACAAATGCAGCTTCAGTTTTCCATACTCACTACATATTTTTGATAGTACCTCTAAAGCAAGTGTTTAAATTTTAAAATATTACAATTTTACCATTTAATTATATTAAGTAACAGAGATTTATTGTCCAGAAGAGCTGTCCTTTTATTTATTTTTTATTTTATTTATTTACTTTTTGAGACAGAGTCTCACTATATCATCCTCGGTAGAGTGCCATGGCATGACAGCTCACAGCATCCCCAATCTCTTGGGCTTAAGTGATTCTCTTGCCTCAGCCTCCCAGTAGCTGGGACTACAGGCATCCACCACAATGTCCAGCTATTTTTTGTTGTTGTTGTTTTGTTGTTATTGTTATTGTTGTCATTGTTGTTTATCAGGCCCTGGCCAGGTTTGAACCCACCGGCTCTGCTGCATGTGGCTGGCGCCCTAAGAACTGAACTACGGGTGCTGAGCCAGAGCTGCCCTTTTAAGGCAAAGAAATTTCAAATACAGAACATCAATTTAGCTAGGTGTTCTAGTTCTTCAATAGGATATTTAATAAGTAACATAGTTAAGGAAAATGCACCTAGCTAATAAAGAGGCAACAGATTTTTTAAAAAGATGCTTTAAAGAAGAAATCAATGCTTAAAATATCTGTAACTTGCATTCTAATGGTAAAAAGTGAAATCTTTGCTGTTGACTAAATGTTTGACAGCTGTTGCTAACCCAAAAGTGCAAATTTTATGTTTCCTTACTTTAGTGCTTAGAATGTGGATTGAGTCAGTAATTTATTTTTTATTTTGTATATTTAAGGTATACAATGGATGTTTTGATGTTTTCATTCTGCTTAAGAAGAGCTCCAGGGCTTCTAGTACTTTAGCCCCATGATGGTGGTAGTCTTAGAAACTTCTGCACGGACTTCTGTTGCTCTGTGGACATTTTCATAGGGGTATATAAACTAGTACACAGTCAAGATTTATTTAGAGTCAAGCGGCTCTCAACTTGTGGGGTGTGACCCACAGGAACTGTATTAGGAAGGTTGAGAACCACTGAAACAGACAGTTGTCGAAGTTGGATTAAGTTAGTGAGCATTAAATAGCAATCATTAGAACTTGATAGTTTCACAGACAACTTTGAGATAAGGGTTGATGATTTGTTTGCAAGAGTTGTTTGTAGTAATCATGAGGTTTTAGAATGATGGGAAATCTAAACACTGGAACAATCAAGGTCAGGATCCAGTTGGGTAAGTAGGTGGCAGAACTAAAGCTAACGAGGTTCAGTCCTCTGGCAAACTTGTAGAAAGAAGACTTTCCAGTTGCAAGACCTGCATCAAGGATAGAGTAGAACTTTGTGTGGTTATGCAACTGCATATGGTTCTTTAGTGACTAAAAAAAAAAAAAAAAAATGGGACCCTCCAGGATCACGTGAGCTGGTGTATAAATGTTTGGGTGCTTGACTCCTCCTTACCCCTCTTAGCCTGCTCTGCTGTATACAGCCTCTTTACTCCAGGCTAAGCAAGAGGGAAACAAAGCTGGAGAGATGAAGGAGGATCTTGGCCTTGGCCTTGGCCTCATACCACAGCCTCTACTAGCTTGCTAGTCCCAGCAGCTGGTTTGCCAGGTGGCGGTTGGGTAGGGTGGGCACTTCTGGAGCATTCATTTAGGTCACATATCCCTCAAGTTCCTCACCACTATTCATGAACTTCAAAAAAGAGCTTAATGGTTTTCTTTTTTGAAATGAAACATTATTTCCTAGAAAAGATTCTAGTTTTTTATTTTAATTTTGTATAGTATGTTTAAGGCATGCAACATGATGTTTTGATATGCATATCGAAATTATGCAAATTAACATGTCCATCACCTTCCAGGGTTTAATTTTTAATGAAACTTGAGAAGGATGAATGCTCCAATTTTTCTTGAAAAAAGAAAGATTAATTACCACGTCAGCCTCATGCAGTGATGCCTTTTGCTGGCCTGTTCTGTGTATGTCATTTTCTCTGAGTCTCCGTAAGTGGGCAACTCAAATGATACTGCAGTGGGAACTGGGCCAGTCGATGTTTTGATATCATCTAAGAGTAACAGAAGGCACAACGAGCATTGTTGTATAAAAATTCTATTTTGTTCAATGTGATTAAAAGAAAAGACAAATACAATTCAACAATAACAATCTTTTAAATCATGAAGCATTTCAGACCCCAGAAAACATCTCAGTTATAAAAAAAAAAAATTCACATCAAAGGATTTCAGCTCAACAAGAGTGTAGACAGTAGTAATATTATCATTAACAGTATTTGATCTGTATAATATACTACCTTTTTCTCATGGACACCTTTACCCTCTTTTTCTACCTGCATTTTAGTCATCCTTTCTAGGACATGCCAGCTGGCACCAATCCTGTGATCCATCTAGGCCCTTAATTTTAAAAAACCTATTGTCTGTCTTAGCAGGTTGGGTTTTCCTTTAAGCACAGAGGTGCTGAGTACACCATAAAAGGTTTTTGAATTAAGATTCTGTATCCAGTTTAGAAATACTATACACAGATGGGAGTATAATACTATACACAAGTGTGTGAAAAATGCAATTATTTATATTCCTTTCTCCTTCTACAAAACACATTGAATTTATAACATACTAAGCAAAAGTTTGGAATAATTTAAAAATATGATCATTATTTAAACTTGAGAACATTAAAATAAAAAAAGACCTGATACGTTAGAAAGCCACTACTCTGATATATCAAGTTTCTTTCTTCTGCATACCCTCAAAATATCCATATGCCACATCATCAGGAACAAATCCTGCAGCGTGCAAAGCAGCTCGACAAGCCTTCCTGACCACCTCTTTGGCCTCATTTCGAAATTCTTCTAGGCGCTCTATCACCTAGATATTGATGAATATGTATGATTAGTGGTACTAAAATATCAGTGATAGGCAAAAATATTGACCGTTATAGACAAAGTTTTTTTTTTTTTTTTTACCTCTGCTAGCCGTAAGACTTGAACAGCCTTAAATTCCTGCAGGGTGTAGGTGTGACATTTTTCAATATAACACAGTCCCATGAAACTCAAATGATAACACAATTCACTTATTTTAAGAAGAGCTGGCCGCAAATACTGAATGAAAATAAGAATTTATCATTACTTAGTGAAAAAAAATTCTGCATTTTAAATGTATAAAAATATTTAAAGAGCAAGAATGGTCATTAAAGATAATAATGGTTCTATATGTTAACTTTAGCCACAACTACAAAACAGAAGCACTTTTGAAACCTTTTTCTAAAAGGATTCTTGAGTTATCATTATCAGATTTAATTTGCCCAAATCTCTTTTCATTTTGAAAACACATGCATGTCTATTTAAGGAATGCAATTGAGGGCAAGTAACAGAAAACTGGGCAATATCTTAAATTTCATTAAGTTTGCCTAATGGATACTGAAATATTTGTGTGACGTGTGACCTTAAGGACTTTAAGACACCAGTCATTATGATAATAGAAGGGCCTATCTAGTAATCTAACAGGCTATGATAGAGAGCAAACAAAAATTTTACTTTAAAATTTTAGTGGGTAACAAGTTGCTTTGGGAACAGTGTCATTTGCTCAAAAGGTTAAATGTAGAATTATTAATGTACTCAGCGATTCCACTCCTAGGTATATCTGCCCAAGAGAAATGAAAATATATGTCCAGAAAAAACTTGCACATGATTGTTCATAGCATTATTTATAATAGCCCATAGTGAAAACAATCTGAATATCCATCAACAGATGGATCCACAATAAAATAGGTATATCCATACAACAGAATGTAATCTGAAAATTAAAGAAATGCTATGCTACAATCTTAAAAATATTGTGTGAAGTGACAGAGCCAGTCATAAAGGACCACATATACTTGGCCCTCTGCATCTGTGAGTTCCACATCTGTGAATTCAACAAGAGCAAATGGTTGCGCCAGTATTGAACATGTATAGACTTTCTTCTTATCATTATTTCCCAGACAGTACAGTATAACAACTATTTACATAGTATTTACATTGTGCTAGGTATTATAAATAATTTAGAGATGATTTAAAGTATATGGGAGGATGTGCATAGGTTATATCCAAAAACTACATCATTTTACATAAGGGACTTGAGCCATCTGTGAATTTTGGTATCCATTGGGAGTTCCTGGAACCATTCCCCTATGATGCTGAAGGATGACTATAGTATATGACTTCATTTACATAAAATGTACAGAATGGAAAAATTTATGGAGATAGAAAGTAGAGTAGTGGTTGCCAATAGTTGAGGGGGGAGGACAGGGTAGCTGGGGAGAGTGATCACTAATGGTGGTAGAGTTTCTTATTGGAGTGATAGATATGTTCTAAAATTGATTCAATTCTATGAATAAACTAAAAATAATTGAATGGTATACTTTAAATGGGTGAATTATGTGGTATGTAGAATATATATCAAAATTGTTATAAGAAAATGTAGGCCCAGATGCCAGCAGTTGGTTGTTTAAAAAATCACAAAAAGAAACTTTTCAAGGACAAATTCATATTTCTTCCTTTAACTTAGTGTAGGGTAATCAACCACCCTAGTCAACTAATTGTAAATATAATACTAGTGGTATGTGTGTGGGTAATTACAGCACCTAATAGTTATTTAAGCCACTGCCATGGGTCTGCTATTTAGGTCAATACTAGCTTAAAAGAATGAGAACTTTCTAGTCTGTTTAGGACTAACTTCAAGAGAAGATGTTACAAAACCCAAAAACATATTGGTAATACAAGGAGTGGGGTAAGGGAATGAAGGAGTAGGGAGAGGGGAGGTGGGAGGGTGGTGAGGGGTCATGGTGTATGACAGACTTCTGAGGGGTGGGACACAATTATAAGAGGGACTTTGTCTAACAAATGCAATCACGGAACCCAATTCTTTGTACCCTCAAGGTGTCCCAAATAATAATAATAATAAGAAGAAGAATGGAGAACAAGAATGATAACTGTCAGCATGTAATATAACAGAACATGCTATGAGGATGGATAGAGATAATCTTTTAATCCAGGAATAACTATTTTAAATACTTAGTAACAAATTTATGATATGCCTAAGCATTCAAGACATGGTAAAAGATGAAAGGTAGCTGACTGATGCATCTTTAATGAAATTTGAGTCAAGAAGGGTGGAATATTTTTTCACAGCTCATAATGCTCAATGAAATGGATAACTTGAGATGGTACATCTTAAGTATTTGTTTTGCACTAACATTTATGTTAGCCAGACTCCTTGAACATCCCATTTTGTGTGACAGACATGTTGATAACAGTCTTTCAGATTACCATATGCAAAGTAAAGGAAATGACTAGTCAAAAACAAACTTGAGGCCTCTGACCTGAGATGGTGATAACTCACTATCATAGAAATAGACAGGTGAGGAGCCAGTACTCTGAGCATAATAGTAATCATTCCAGTTCATTCCGAGGGGTCAACTTCTAATGCAAGTTGAAATTCAGTGGGCAGAGGTTTTAAATAGTTCTTTAACAGTTCTTTTTTCATGATCACCCCCTCATTGTCCAAAGTATATATTAAAAATTTCCCTACTACCTGAATCCATTGTAGAGGAACACATATACTGGGAAGCACTGAATACAAGCCCCAAATTCTTCTGGACCATAAACTTCAGAGTGTCTCAAAGATAAGAGGAGTTAATAGGGGATACTATCCTCTTTTGCTCAAAAGGACATACAACTTTCCCAATCAGCAACAAAAGGATCATAAATCCAAAACTCTGAGGCTATGTTGAACAAAGGGGACCCATGCAACTTTCTTCTTACATTTCTGCATTTTGCAACCCTAGACAAAATGTAGAAATGCCCCTAAACTCCTAAATGACAAAAAGGATGGGAATTGTGAACTTTCCTAAAAAAAAAGAAATATTTTCTAGAGACAGTCTATACCAACACCTATAATACATTCACACTTTCTCTTTCTATAAGTAGTATTTTTAAAATATGATTAATAAATACATACAGAATCAACAATGAACAAATTTTTTTGTAGAGAATTTCGACATCCAGTGATTTTCTTGGAGCGAACATTCTTCCTCCACACGGTAAAAGCCTTCCATTTCCGGAAAAGTGAAAATATGGGAATCTTAGTGAGTTCTTTGTGATATAGATATTCCTGTTCCCATCGATCAATTTCAATAAATTCAATGTCACCATTACAAATGTGGGTCACTGCCTTTTTGCTAATAGTATAGTAGTCATTTTTATTGATCTTCTCGTAAGTTACAACTCTATGAATTAAATAAAAATTGGGACAAGTGAATTAAGTATTCAATACAAAATCTGCAATTGCATTACTTTTTGTTTTAAAGAAATAACACATATTTTGGAAAACAAATATTTAAAATTTGAAACATTCAGATTAAATAAATTAGTCAAGAAAATAAGAGTTAAATAACTATTACCTTATTATACAGATTTCACAACCATCACAATATGCTGATAATTTCAGTTACACTATTTTTACAATAAAACAAATTATGGATTTTAAAGACTTAATAGTCTTACATGAAAGCTAGAACTAAGTTTTTCTTTATTAGCTCTTTAGAAACTATTCAGAATTAATATTGTAAAAGAATTTTACACTACTCAGTATTGAAAGAATTATGAGAAAGAGCTAAATGAAGAGAGAAAAACATGAGATTAGAATCTGAAATTAAGGTAAAATTTATGCTCAATGTATCATATACAAAATAATTTATTGTTGAGAAAATTAATTGGTTCATGATATCTTTCTTTCGGTTGTCATAAGAGGTGTTCTTCAACTGTATGAGTAACAGGAAACTGATCAAGTAAAGATGAAAAGCATGAAGGGGATAAAAGGAGGATTAGTAGGAGAAAGAAACAATTAGTGAGAACAGAAAGGGCTGCTCCTTTAAAACTTAAAATAAGAATTTGCCTACAGCACAAATATATTTTCTGTAATCTTAACTATTAATATAACAAGGAAATATTGATGCAACTTAAATATTCAATAACCAAACAAACATGAAATATGACATAGCACCTTATTAAAATATATTTAGGAATTCAGGAAAATAACATGTATGCAGATTCTATGAG